ATTGCAGCTTGATGAACAATAGTTAAGCAAATGGTAGAATAACATACCCCCTAATATATCCAGGTTAAAAAAACTAATTCTATAAAGAAAGAAATCCTACTGAGTTAACAAGGCTACGACAGTTCAATTTCATTCCTAGTTATTTGGAGATACAACTCCCAAAATTAAATGGGGCTTGCTTTTGTAACACAAATAGGATTTCCATGTTAAAAAAAAAATCATACCACTTTCCTTCAACACCTCTAATGTTATATTTCATTTTAACATCTTAAAATTTATTTAATAAAACATATGGATATGTTTTATTCAATAAGACCATTTCTGGGTACTCTATTTAAGTATTTCATGAAAGTAGGATTAATAACATAGTTTGCATGCAGACTTCAAGCATTTCTCAAAGTAATGCTGCTTTCTGTATTATTATTAATATATTTCATTTCTTCTATAATAAGCAGTAATAATATTTATTTCATTTTATAGTGTACAGTTAATAACAGGATTACAGTTTCAAGCTATCCGGACATGATATGATGGTAAAATATACACACTACTCTAAGTCTGGCTGACAAGACTGAATTCACTGGCAGGAATCACCAGAGGTGAATTAATGTCTACTTGCGAAATAACGTGTTTCTAAATAATTCTTAAGAATCAATTTCTAGACCCAGAAAATGCCTCCATCACCCAGATATTTGGCTGCATGTTTCAGATGTTTGAACAGGTAATTGAAATTCTGTTCCTGCAGTTTGAGGTAAAAAGAAATGGAGCCATTTGGTTTCAGCTTTGGATCTTGCTTTAAAATTGATACAACTTGCCAGACTTTTTACACTGCCACGGTTTCCAATTCCCAAAAGCAGTTTGAAGATGATGGGTCAGATAACTGAAGCCTGAGATGTGGGAGACAGGATGAGGGAAGAGTTCCTAAAAATGGCGAAACCACTCAAACTTGGAACCATTTCCAGAGAAAAATAGAAAAATCTCCCGCCCTTCTGCCACCTAGTGGCTGCCTAGATTTCTGCAACCCGAATCTGGTAATCTTTTAAATGCATCCCTGAAAAGAAAACTCCAGTTTTGGTGCAATTTCAAATAAATCTTCAGTAGAAGCAGAAAAACAGCACTACGTTTATCAAAACTGACATGTCATGTGACTGTACAGTTCAATGCTGAATCTGACTGGGCTGCAAACTCTTATTGCAAGTGTCCTCAGGAATAGCTTAACAAAAAGACACTATTCTGCCAATAAAGAATATTTGTAGCCCAGGTTGAAATGAAGGGTCCTTGGTGCTCTCTGAGCTTTGGGGTTTTTTGTTTTTTTTTTGGCAGATGTTTCATTATGCAAGTTAGGTAACAGCATCGGTGCTGATTATGTTACCTAGTTTAGGTAGCGAAACATCTGCAAGAAAACAAGCAAGCTCAGAGATCACCAAGGACCCCACAGTATTCTGCAAAAACGGACCTAGGCAGTTACTATTTCAGCTTCAACTTCTCTCATAAATGTTCCGTCATAGAAAGCCAATCTCAAACTAAAATTAACACCCAGGCTTCCGTTCAGATCAACAGCAGGAATAATAGGATGGCTTTTATAATAGTTTACTTGACTTAACCCATTTACATGGTTTAAATACACCAAGCCACAAAATGTTATTTATAATGTACTTTTAGTCTAGCAAACTCACGAGATATATTTTCTCCACCCTACTCCTGATAAAGCTATTTAGTTAAAATAAATAAATGGGATAATTGTATTCTTTTACTCTTTCAGAGCATACAAAAAGCAAGTTAATGGATGGATAAGATTTCATAAACAAATTCACTTCTCCATTTTAGATTTTACTAATCTAACTATATCAGATGGAAACATATTGACCTTGTTTGCAACATGAATGAGGCTGGTTGCATTTGCTGACTACTGTTGGTTTCATGTGTTCTCTGCATCTGTTGTAACACCCAGTATTTATCAAGGAGTTCTTGACCTTTTCTCAGGAGAGATTTATTTAGCAAATCTGGTGTAGTGGTGAAGGTAGAGGCCTAGAGACTAGGATACTGTGAGTTCAAGATCTCCCTTAGGCTTGAAAGCTGTCTGTGTGACTTTGGGCGAGTTACTCTCTCTTAGCCCAACTCACTTCACAGAGTTGCTGTTGAGGTGAAAATAAGAAGCAGGAGTGTATGTGATATCAAAAGTAAAATGATATGATGAAAAAACTCTCATCTTCCTTCTTTCTTGAGATAATTTGAGGCAAATGGAGGCCAACACCAGATACAAAACTGGCAGCTGTGACATCTCATTGTTGCGTACAGTAATAAAAATAATAATACGCAGCAATGCTACGTTGGAATATCTGCAAGAAATACCATTTGCCTGCAAGTAAGAATTGATGGTTCGCAAAACAGACAAAATAACAGAAAACGAAGAAGCTAAAGTGCTGTAGAACCTATGAATTCAAACATAGAAGCACCTGACATATAACACTCTGGACTTGACCACTGTCGATAAGCAAGACAGTGTTTGGATAAGGAAGTACCTGGAGACGGCAGAAAAGTAGAGGAAAAATTGGAGAAGATAACAAAACACCTGCAAATTTAAGTAGAATGACTGTGGCAAAAGAACGCAAAAATGGTACTAATAATACTAGGCACCTTGGGTGCAACCTCAAAATAACCGAAGCACCACTTGAACACCATCGGAATTGACAAAATCATGATCCGTCAATTCCAAAGGGCAGCTTTACTTGGAACAGCTGACATCCTGTGACATTTTTAACACTATCAAACAACATGTTAACCCAGGCCCTTGGAAAGGACTCAACAGATGGCTAAAATTTCCAAATCCTGACTAAACATCAGTCTGACTGCACAAAACAACAACAACAACAACAACAACATGCTTTGTCTCCTAAAAGTGATGTTGACCAATTATATCTACCAAGAGCAGAGGGTGGTCGAGGACTCCTACAAGTAAAACAGACTGTGGAAGAAGAAAAACACAGCTTGAATGATTACANACTATATAAGTCTAAGTGCTATTGCTATTGTTTAATGGGACCATCACATGTATTTGATTAAATTTCGTTTACATTTAATTTAACATAAATCAAATCTCTTATATTCTCCACTTTATTACTTTCTCTTTTCTCCCTAAACTTATTTCCTCTTCTTGTACCTGAAAATTACACTTTCGTTTCAACTTGTAGAGTTTCAAAGATGGAGCTTAATTCAAAGCTTTTGGGGAATGGAGACTATGTGCCCCTCTGCATAATTTCCATTATGCAAAATTAAAGTTTGTTTAAGCTTCTTTATATACGTAGGAGAAATTTTCTTGTGGTATTTTAAAAAGCACAGCAACTTCCTCAAAGATCAGAGCATGATTTAGTGGAAATATTACACATATAAACAACACATTTGTCTGTCTTGTTTGTGTGTGTGAAACTAGTGCAAACCCAACCATTACCAGGACAGGTTGGTTTCTATTATACATCAAGAAGAGCCACAATCAATTTGCCCTTTAAACAAAGCTCCAGGAAATAGTGACAAAACACTGCAGCTAGACAGGGTGGGGGTGGTGGGGTGGTAAGTGGCTGTAAGATTGTCCCCTCATAGCAACAGTCAGGAAATTGGTGCTGAGGACCCAACACTGAATTTTAACGAGCAACAAAGCCATTTATAGTGTAGCATTTGAACACACAAACATTTATACTATGGTTACAGAAACCTCCAAATCAAACATGAAATAATGATTTGAAGTCAAGCTGGTATATGAATATGGACAGGGATGTTCTCTCTAGCTGTGTCGGGTGTTCAAGTGAAATTTAATTCAGAATGACTCTCTGAACATGACTTAATTTAAGTTGGATTGTTTTGGGCCATTAAACTGCAAGTGCAGAATGTGTAAGATTTGTCCTGTTTCAATCCTCTGTGTGTTTGATTTGATGTATGAATCTCATCCAAACTGGTTCACCACAATGAATACCTGCATAGCCTTAGTACTTCTCAAACAAATGTCTGGGAAATTCTAACAACCAGGGTCAAACTAAATCAAATATTTCAAATTAAAATGATCCCCATGCCGAAATGTTTAGATTTGCTCACCATTACAAACATTTTTCCCTGCTCTGGAGAACATAACAAACCTTTAGAGCTAGGAAAGGGAATGCATTCACATTTGTACAGGTAGTCCTTGACTTATTACTATAACTGAATCTGGAATTACAGTCATAAGCCTTGCTGGTAATTAAATGGGTCACCATATAACCACTTCTGATTTATGACAATTTTTCCAGAAGTTGTTAAGCAATTATTAAGTGAATCCATTGGACACAATGCACAATTTTTGCCCCAAACTGGAAGCAAATGCTGATTTCTAGAAAGAAAAATCAATTACAAATTGTGGTCATTGAACATGGGACACTGCAAACAGCTGTAAATATGGGCCATGTTAGGCAGGAACAACCAGACCCAGTCATGAAGAATTTAAACTAGCTACTTTATTATTCTATTGCCTAGTTCAAGGCATTGTCCAGAGTGGCAGTTTGCTCCTGGGAAAGACTAGATAAAATTCAGTGGCATTCAGATTTAAGACTAATCCCCCACTTGACCCCTCAAGTGGAGCAATCGCTTTCCTATGGTTGCCAACTGCCCATAATGCAATCAGGTTACCACATGGGATGTCTGTGGGTGTCAGAACTTTGAATCTGGGTCATAAGTAGAGCACTGGGGATGTCCCTTGTAACTTCAAACAGCCACTAAGTGGCCAGTTCTAAGCCAAGGCCTGACTACCTGTACTGTGCTTTGAATTGATGATCAGATACCCTTGAATGTCAGAGTAGATAATCACACCCAAGAATGGCACAAATTAGTGAACCTTTTCCTTGTCTGTAGTATAATGCAACAAGAATTTAGTTATAAACACAGGAAATTCTCTGTATAATGTCAGACATTTTATCCATTCACAGGTCATCTTAATCCAAGTTTAAAAAGCAAGAATTCTCTGTAATCATCATTACCTTATTAGCAGAGTTTGGTGTCTGAGGAATCTCATCCTTCAGCATGGGCAAACTATTTCCTTCCATGTCTTTTCCTGAAACACAACATTCATAAAAGCTTTGTTTCTGAAGAAATCAAAAGCAGATTTCTATAGAATGCTACCTTTGTATTATTGTGTGTTTTTAAATGTTTTAGGTAACTGCTCATAGTAGCTTGGAGTCTGGTGGCATATAAATTTAATTTCTTAGAAGGACTGAGCCTAGAAATCTCAAAGCTCCATTCCCAGCTATCCTCTTTATCTTTTCACCCTGCCTTCCCTTTTGCTTTAGATTAGCAACTTGGTAGTTCTTACTGTCATTATTTATCTTCCGGAGAAGTACTGCTTAACATTTTTCTGTTAAACCCAATGTTTCAGAGAGATATTGGTCTCACAATGCATATTGTTTCTCTAGTCAGTAAAAGCTAAAAGCAGAAAAACAAAATAATCTTTACAATGCAGTCTCTTGGCCATGTTTCTGGGTGACATCTGTCAAGAGACTTCAGCTCTTTTTATCCTCTTGGGAAAGCAACTTCATAAGAGATAAACAAAATCCAACTTTAACTTAAAAAGAGAAATAAAAGGTAAACTGTAATAAATATTACATTTAGTTATTAAAATATAAAGTTTTACTATTGAAGTATATAGATATTGAGTTGTCTTGACCAAAGACAACAACTAAACACAAAATCCACAAGACAATGCAAAATGAATACTACAAGAAGACCACAACATGGTAAGGGTGTGCAACAAATGAAAAATGACTCTTTAANGGGGCAATATGCTGACTCTCTGTAAACCGCTTAGAGAGGCCTGAAAGGCCTATGAAGCGGTATATAAGTCTACTGCTATTGCTATAATAGTCATAAGGATCAATAATGTCACTTTTTTTCCAGCACTGTCTGTCATTAAATGAATGGCTATAAATCAAGGACTACCTGTAGTGCACAAAGCCTCCTCAACCAGTTGAGTCTTCAATTCCTGTAAATACTAAGTCAGTACACTGACATTTACAAAACCAGATTAATAGGCATAAAGGTAAAGGTTCCCCTCGCACATATGTGCTAGTTGTTCCCAACTCAAATCGCCGAACTGCAGGCCTTTCTGATTGACAAGCTCAGCATCTTAGCCACTGAGCCACCGTGTCCCTATTTTAACAGGCATACTGAGTTTATTTTTATTTTTGAAAATATCCATAATTATATTTCTCCCTTTGCAGGCAGGGGAAAGAATTATAAAGCTAAAGCAACTTGCTACTCTAACTGAAAGAAGAATGCAGTCAAAGTTAATTTCCTTCGCCCATTAATGAGCAAGCAAAAATGCTTACTTCCATCATTCATTTATACCTAACCACCCTGTTAGCAAGATTGTAATCATTATATGGGATTTTTAAGATTACAGCTCATAAATAAAGAAGTACTGCTTGCACACAGTTGGGATTTGAAAGCGCTATGGAAAGCATAACACAGGAAGGGATGAAAGCAGAACTAGGGGTACATCTTTTTTTAAAAAAACTATGGGCAATTGAAGAAAGAAAGACTGGCTAGAATAATAGAAGGCAGCCTGATTAAAAGGAAAAAAAATGCCTTTCAAAAGATTTTCAAGTGAAAATGCACCACTTAGCCATGACCTTGTCATGTACCCTGTGTCTATGAATTTCACTGTATAAAAATGCTGTAAAATCAACTTGGCAATTTATAGCTTAAACCACTTGACTCTGTAAATATTATTTTTGCAAGTCTTTGAATGCCTCTCTTAGTTTACCTGTTGGTACCAAGAGAATAACTAATCTAAGCAATGGAGCATCACGTGTAAAGTTTTCACCTTCAGGTACTGGATAAATAACATAGAAACCATAAAGAGGAAGCCAGACTCTCCAATAAAGCCGTTACATCAGCCTCATATGTTTCAGTTTGTTTCCTTCCTTGTTTCCTTCCCTTCCTTTTCTCCCTCCCTCCCTATCCACTCCTGGCTTTCAAGATTATTGCTACACATATAAAAGCAGAGAGGCTCTAGCCTTCTTTCAAAAATATGAATGTTAAAGAAGTACTACATTAAAAAAAACCCATAAATATTTGTTACTTGGCTTTCTTTCATCTTTTTTGTAATGCAATAATTTAAATGGGTCTAGGATCTGTTTCTTTCTCCAACTTGTTCTTCCAGTTGTGTTCCAGGGTTATTTGATCTAATTATGTCAGATTTCCCAAGAATACTTATTCATTACACAATCAGACATAAATGTGGCTACTCCTCCTTGTGCATAGTAACACTCCCTGGAATAACCTAATTAATATCTTGCAGTACTTAACAGTAAGGTTCTAGTTTCACACATGAACCAAAGATAATGTTCCCTGTTATTAGAGATGGATGGGAATAGATTAGGGGGGGTGTGTGTTTCCTACTGTTCTTAACAAGGATCCTTTACTGAAATATATGTTTACCCAATGTGTGAACACAGCCATTGTAGTCTGAAAGCCAAGATATGGTTCACTGTTATGTACAATTCATGGTTTAAAACACAATTGTTTATTGGCTTCTCAATACACAAATTACTAGGATTTTAGAGATTTTTTTACCAATAACAGTGTGTGTGTGTGTAGTTAGTTAGTTAGTTAGTTAGTTAGTTAGTTAGTTAGTTAGTTAGTGATAGGCAATTTGTGATCCTACTGCATTACCAGCATTCCTCATCACTTGTAATGATGGCTGGGATTAGTGGGAGTTGAAGTAAAATATTTTCGTGATCAAGGTATTCAGCCCTAGGGAATGAGTAAGTATCAATAAAGATTTTATCTGTTTCAAAGGCTCTTAACCAAAAAGAATCACAGAAACATACATTGTAGCAAGGCATTAAATAGAGGCCTTGTCCAGTATTCTTGCAAAGATGTTAGATTATGCCTGAAAACAAAGCATATGTTTTCTAGCTGAACCAGGAGCCCTCTTATTCACATCTCTTTTTGCTTTGGGAAAAGGCAAATGGATTCGCCGACTATTTAAAGAAACATGAACACAACTGCAAATAACAGCAGAACCCAATACTTGACAGTATCAGTCTGATAAAATGCTAAATACCTGTTAGGGCTTGAAGTACCTTCATTGCAACAGAGATTTCAACTGGCATAATTAAGATGCTTGCCTGAAGGAGGCTACTGAAATTCACTTGGGTGAGAGACAATTTAATCACATTGCTCTCTCCAACCTCCAAAATGTACTAATCTAGCAATTCCCCCCAAATTAATATATTTGGTTGAACTTACATACTTGATATACATTGCCAGTGTTCAGTTACTCATCTTGAACTCTTCCCACAGCTCAAAGTGTTGACTCAGAGGTTCAGTTCAAACATAATGATAAACCCTAAAATAATTTGATTTTATTTCAGTGTATGTTATGAACAACTATGGTATTTTACCTAAGGTGTGTGTCCAGTTTATTCAATAAAACATGTTTAGGCAAACATGGCTTAATCCACTATATGAACCCAATTATGGTGCAATGACACATAGAAGGCAATACATGAATAATAGGTTAATATAAAGCACAGCTTGAATGAATATAGGTGACCTCTCTGCCTCTCTAGTACATAATAAAAAGTTTTAATTAATTATTTTGACATCATAAGAGTATATATTTGTGTATTATCTTTCATATGTAAGACTGAGATACAGAAGCTGCATCTCCTGGCAACTAAATCATTATGATAAAAAAGAGACAATTAGTATTATCTGTCAAAACGATACTCAATTAGGAAACTAGTATTAACTTGTTCTCCTGTCAGTTTCCAAGCTTCTGTATGGTCATGCATTTACGTTTCTATTTTGTTATATATACCTCCTTGTTTCTGAGGCAGAAACAATATTTTGTACAAATAAAACGGTAGTGTTGCAGTACACTATTGTTTATAAGCGAGCCAAGATACAACACTGTTAGTGAAAGAAGTGCCATTGTTTTACTAACTTCTTTTTAAAAAATTTAGGAAGTACCAGTAAACGTAACTGAGCAGGCATGAAAAATGTAGGAATATACAGCATTCAGGGTTTCTGTTTTACAAAGGTGCAGCTTCATAAATACTCTGTTCTTTCATCCAAAAATCATTACTTTTGTACCTACAAATTATTTATCAAAGAATTAGAAAGGATGGCCTATCTTTTTAGCAATTCTCAATCTATTTTCTAAAAATTAACCTGTCAATAGTCCTGACAGGACCCATATTCCGTTAGTTTTCCTGTTCTGTTATTGCTCTTGCAGAAGCTCTGATATTCAATTTTGTGGCAGTAATTCTATCATTTTTATTCTTTTTATGACAATTATAAAAAGTCATAAAAGGCCTATAAAAATATAAAGAGTAAAATAGTGCCTGAAGGAAATAACTGAACAATATATATTAATCAGGGCTGGAATAAAATAGACTTAGTTTATAGATTGTGCTAAGCAAGTTCATTGCTCCTTCTTTGCAGAGTAATCCACAAATGACATTCTGAAACTCTCCATTAAATGTTTAGGCAGTAAAATTCAGTTTTTTTTTCTTTAAAAAAGGGAGACATTCTTGAACAAAAACAGAATTACCCACCCCCCCCAAAGACAAAAGTCCACCGGCAATGTGTTCGCTTACAAATGCAAAAAGCAATTTTTGATGAAATCTGTTTACTGAAAGAGAAAAACTTCTATTGCTATAGATGTCTCAAGGGATTGGAAGCAACTACTGCTATTAGAAAAATGGCACCACCCTTTAAGAAAAGGAAAGTATATTATACAGAGTATTTTTTTTTACTTCATCCTTAAAACAAGAAGTACATGGGCTGCTCAGAAATGGTAGTTCCATGTTTGAAAACCTGAGTGATCACAATGTTTTCTTTCTAGCACCTCAGAGTTAATCCCTACTAATTCTCTTCCTCACAATAACAAGAACGATAACAAAAGAGACTTACCTTGCCATAACATGACTGACAGAAAGCAAGCAGGCAGAGGGAAGGCAAGATTTTCTGGTTATCGTACTGTAGGTGGGGAAAAAAATACCCTAATTACTTTAATATTTCTTCCCACAGATTGCTGTTCTGTGATTTATTAGTTTTAGAGTATGAGAAGTGATTTCTAAAACTGCCACTAAAACTCTTTGCTTAAAAAATGTGACCATTTTTGTCTTGATATTTGTGAAAGTCAGTCTATTCCTACTAGTGCTACTAGACTTGACACACGAACGTCTTCAAAGTAAGAAAGACATTTTCACTTTATGAGGTGTCACTATGTGACTGAACACCAAATTATATATTCTTCATTATATTTCATTAATACATATGCCTTTTCAGGAAAGTTTATAAATTGATGAGTAGCATTCAAATTAAGTTGATATAATTAAATCCTGTTGAAATAAAAGAGAATTTCAACTATCCATTAGGTTTTTACTGATTTCAATGGTGCTTCTAGGGAACAATTTAACTTTTAAAATTATTCAGAGAAAGGAAGGAAGCTAACCTAAAATTACAAGTAGTCCTCAACCTACGACCACAGCTGAGCTCAAAATTTGTTAAACAGTTGTTAAGTGATGGTCAAGGACCACCTGTATGTAGGAACTATTAGCTAAGCAAAAGGCGTTGAGATGTTTTAAATGTCTGTCTGTGTAATATTATATAATATTACTATAATCTTGATAAAAGCAGTTTCCTGTGGAGTTGATTTCCTGGTCTGGTCCATTTAGTGGGGCTGAGAGTATGCCATCCAATATAACAAAGAAAATAATTCAACATTATAAGAAAATAGTAGGAGTGGATAAGAATAATATCTGGTAAGTTGAAATAAAGATATGGTTGCATTATTTTCTCTATCTCCCAAGGTCAAAAAATGGAACAAATCACACTTTTATTAACTTGCAATCTTTGAAAAGGACAATATTGATCCAATTTAAACTGCAATTATATTTTGCTAAAGTAGTGTTATAGATTTTGTTTGGAAATTAAAATTTTAAGCCATTACTAACCACCTAGGCTGCCTATCTTATTGACCAATTTGGGAGAAGACTATTTAATGAGTCATGATCAAAGAGTTCAACTTCAGGAATCCTATTGTGTATCTAAATTAGTATCATTCACTACAAATTTTAGGTAAATACAGGCTAATGTTCCATAGATTGCCATCCTATTCCTAGCTCAATAGTCTTTTAATTATGATCCCATTTATTTAGTATCCATCTGAATTCAAAGCAGGTACTTTTGCCAAAGTTCCTGATTTAATCAGACACAGAGGTTTGTGTTGTGGCCCAGCAGGAGCCGTTGGAGCTGCCACCAGACTCCGACAGCGAGGGGCCCTATGAGTCAGCTCTGGAGGATGTGGAGGACCCTGGACAGGGTTCCGACACTGAGCAGGGCACAGAGAGGCTGGTTGGCCACCAGGAGGCGCCTAAGCAAT